CAGCTGGTCTAAAGTCGGGTTAGATAACAGCTAAACCAACGAACATAATCTATTTCCTTCGTGCCGACCTCACAGGGGCTGGTGGTTTGGGACCTACCTCTGTTTATTGTATATCAGTGTTTTACATTTCATGGCCACCCTACTTTTACAAGAAAATACTGAACGGCCTCCATTTTCCTCACCTCAAAAGTATGCAGGGAATTATTAAAAATGGGCAATGCTCACACCTAGGTTAGTGGTCAGCTAGTTAAGTGCATACTCCTGTCGGACATTATCAGTCTTCCTAGGTGATTTGGAAATCATCGGGGCTTAAAGCCCCGAAAGATGGAAATTACTATGTATGTAATAAATAGAGTCACTGTTATGTGGTTAGTACCGATGCTAGTTTGAGGTGGATGGTCATCCCCACAAACTTACTTCGCCGGTATTTAAATTAAAAGTACCTAGGTGCCGTATATCGGAAACAATAAAGTCTCATTTCAGAACACTTTTAAATACTAAAATTGGTCATGCTCAAAAGGAAGCGTTGATTTTGTCCGCTTTGCTTATTGAGCTGTGAACTCTCACTTAATTCTGGCGATCCCATATTTTAAACTGCTAACAATTTTCACTAATATTGTCCCTACCGCGATGGTCGCTGCGATCTTGGTAAGGATAGATTTATGTCCTCACTGACCCCTTGTTTACTTTGTATATATGCCTACTTATTTCGTAGTAGTAAGCGTGTTTTTCTTTAGCACTTTGGCGTCGGCTGTTTTACTAACCTCAAACGTTCGACATAGTCCTTCTGTCTATTACATTTCGCGCCCTGCGGAGATCTTTAGTGACCTGTGGGTACCTTCTATATGCTAGGTTGTTTTTCTCACAAAAAAGATACGACAAAGTCTATGCACATTTCACGTTGCACGCCCCACGGAAAGCTTTAGTGACATGCGACTAGTTGTACACAATTAGGTTTCTATCACATTTTAGATTCATAACTTATTATAAACACTATTACCAGTCTTCTAAACATTACCTTACTACGACGGTCTGTAAAGAGGTTTTTTTTCAGGACCTAAGGTATTCGCTGTCCGGTTGAAAATGGGCTGCTAATTGTCCAATCAAATTAGCGTTTGATGAGGTTGATCATGGTCGGATTCGTTCCACGTTCGATTTTTTTGAGTCTTCGGATTCTATTGAAGTCCGAATTGTCGCAAGTTCCTTTTTGGTTATTCTTCAGTTATGACGCGCTTGTTCTTTGCATATATTAGCCGACTCTAATAATTTTATCTACTATTTCCTACCTTTGTACGCAACATTGTTTAAACATTCCGTACTGCGACATATTTTGTTCTACTCGCATAATCCCTATTACCACCGGTCCCGTGTTACCGAATTCTGGGGGGTTTTGTTCCCGTGGCTGCCATTAAGCTAGATTTCCCGTCTGCTCTTCGCTTTGAACCTAGGCGGGCTGTTTAAGATCACCATGAGTTACTTTGTTTTACAAATTTGCTGCTGATTTGTAAAGTATTTTTGGTCACATTTATGCGCGCTCCAAATATTCTTGCGTCTTTTAATTTTCCAGCCTCATTTCGACTCCAAGCGGCCTTTGGACGATCATGCTGGCTTCCTCTTGTCTCGCCACATTTCTGCTGTCTGACACGAAATATTACGATCCTGCCTGCAGAGAATTAGCTATGCCGGTAGCCTATTCCGGTTGCTGAATTCGTTCTTGGCGCG